GTAAAAGAAATTTTAAGTTCATACATTATCCAATGTTATTTCATCTGGATGAAAATGAATAATTGACAAAGCGTTTCTCATTGTTGTTGTCCATCGATGTCTCAATGGATATTCATTAGATGCGAAAAAATTTATTAATTCATGGCGAAGAATGAATTGATGATCGTGTAGACCACATAAATAAATACAGCATGCATGTAGCAAACAATTACCATCGCCTAAAGTCGGTTAGATAATTTTACATAATACAAAATACTTTATATACTAAAGATTCCTACCGCGCGTTTGCACAGGATATAGTTTTTTACAAAACGGTAGCTAGCTAATCACTTTTTCTTTCTCGAGTGTTTTGAAGATATTTGTATCTATCAAATAATCAAAAATTTCATCAAAGATTTGTTCGTTACGGCTTCTAATTAAATGTGTGCGTGATCCTAAGGTCTTTGGTCGTTGTAATATGACATTTTGAACTTTATGAAGAACTTCGCATATTTCGGATGATGGATCATTTGAAATCTTTACGAAAAATGCATCAAAATACATAGGCTTTCTCGCCATATATTACAACTGATATTGAGTAATTGCAGAGTGCACCTTTTTCTTCAGAAGATTGCCGCTTCTTCCATACTACTATTTCTTTCATTGTCATGAGAGCGTCTCTACAGGCTTCAGACCACTCGGTAACGCCTGACATCTATTGATTTCAAGAAATATTATTTAGTCTTTCCGGGAAATTCGATGAGGGTAATGATTCTTTCACTGCACACTCATTTTTCGGTAATTTAATACAGAAGTGGCAATAGATATTATTGCCACTCTATGAAAGTGGCAATAGCCACTGCTGCCACTCCCTGTGAGTGGTAATAGAACTACCCTAGATTATATATCTATATTCTGGAACTTTTCTTGTCCGTGGATGACTTTTTTTAATGTTATCGAAATCGGCTCGTTTCAGGCGACATCTATCCCGCAACTACAGAAAAGGTTTGCTTAGCTTTTTTCTTTCTGCATCAGCAAATATTATTTCAGTCATCTCTCTGAATATTGATCATGGGAAGCTAAAATCACGTCGTTCTAAAATCACTTTTCACCATTGAACATTTTCTAACTTTAGTCTCTACGTCACGCCACGATAGACCTGCTGGACGATAAATCTGGACTGCTTCTGATTGGTCAAAAATCGTAGATGTTACCGTAAAATCATAAGTGATTTTAGAAAGTGATTTTAGCTTCCTATGACCCTGAATGTTTTCCGTCTCATGTAAAAAATACTTTTCTATTTTCGTGGCTTGTGGTTGTGATTCGCTGATCCATGGAATATCTAATAGCCATTTTTTATTTGTACAAACTAGTAATTAGACATAGTGAACCAAGGTAAGGCTCCTCTCCACTCGCTCGGTCCCTTGACTTTATTAAGTTGGATCTGCGCAAGCGAACGCCCTTTGGTGACTTATAAATCGAACACAATGCTCTCGCCTCCCTTCGGTCGGCGCTCGCTGGGGCTCTAACTAAGGCATCTTTTATCGATAACGTGGTAATCTGATATACATATATAAATCAAAAATCTGTAGAGGTCTAAACATATTTCTGAATTCAAAACAATGCTCACACCTCCCTTCGGTCGGCGCTCGCTGGAGACCTGCCTAAGACATCTTCTGGGCTTTTTCTGTTTTGATGTGTAAGGTCCGAATCTACTATGAATATAAAGAGCAAAAATCTCAAGAGGTTTAAAACTATTTCTGAATTTAAAACAATCCTCATGCTTCCCTTCTGTCTGTCGGCGTTCGCAACCAGTATAGATGAGAAATGCTATGAACTTCTCTGATTCCACCTGAAAACCATCTAATGTAATATAAAGTTAAAAGGTTTTCTGCACACCCTCTGCAGATCCCAAGGAGGTTGGAAGTATTTCTAATCGATTTGTTATAATAGATTATCTATACACTGTCAATTTTATTACCCGTATACCACTTTTTTTGTATTGTCATAGTTGACTGCTATCTGGCGACATCTACCACCCTGCCTACAGCAAACGTTTGCTTAGCTGTTTACCTCTCTGCATCAGCACATATTTCAGATGATCTCTTTGAGTATTTTCTCTCTTATGTAAAAAATAATTTTCTACTTGTCTCCTGTGATTCGCTTATCCATAGAATATCTGACAGCCATTTTTCCATATTTTGCGCACACACACAGAAACACACAGACAACCACTTTGTAAGACCCTAGACTAAAGTCAAGGGAACTAAAGAAATAAAAGATAAAATCATGAGCCATTTTTAGAGATTTTTAACAGTATTTAGCGATTTTTAATGATTTTTTACGATTTTCGATTTTAACCGATTTTTGAAGCTCAAAAAATCAGCTGTTTTCTTCTTGGAAAAATCCCACTTTTGACCCTAACAGTAAAGTGAGAAGTTTCCTCTGAAAAAAATTCCTGTTAAAATCACTGCACATCGAGAAAAGGTGAGAAATATTGCGAAGTTCTTTGATTCCACGAAAAAAGCGCATAATGTAATATAAACCTAAACAGTTTTCTGGATACGCACACACAGACAGACAAGTATTTTGTAAGATACTGCATTAAACCCAAGGGCCACGTTCGCTAGTTCCACGTTATGTCTGCTTTATATTTTTAGATGACTCAAATGCTACTAATGTAATATATAGCTTTGTTTTAGCTTACTAGTCGTCACTGAATACACGTGGTGATCATCATTTATCAAAGTTTCAAAATGTTGAGTTGCTGTTTGTGATTCCAAAGAGTTAAAACATTATTTATTTTAACAAATCTTTGGTGAGTAACTTAAAACTTATATATTTACCATTGGAGGTATATATAGCCAATAAGCTAAGAAAATGTTAGATATTGCGTTAGTAGCGTTTAAGTCATCTAAAAACATAAAGCAGACATAACGTGGAACCAGCGAAATGCTGATAGCACAAGTAGGGATGGCACTTTCCCGTTCCTTTCCAGGAAATTATTAGAATTTATGCAAACATCTATTTTTTTACGATCGCTTTGACATTATATGATATTCGCGTGTACTATTTCTAATGACTGATGAGCCAAGCGGCAGCAAAATGGTCTTTTACTTTCAAAAATTCGATTTTCACTGTGTCATCTGTAGAAAACCACTTTCTGTGACATTTTCATTAGACACACTGCTCATTAGTAAACAGTTTCTTGAAAAATATTGATATCTCGGTAGCGGTTTCGGTCCGGAAAACTGTAAATATTTATTTTGAAGCGAGACGCTCTTGTATACTGAAAGTCGTTTTTAAAAGACCGAAATATGGTGGAGAGATTCGCTAGATGAAACTGGTCAAAAGAGGCAGTAAATACGAGATAAATCTAATGCCATATGTACAGGAGAATAGATAGTCACATCACACTATGAAATTTGTCGAGTTTTTCATTTTATTATGTACTTCTTATATTTTTTGATTAATTTATATGGTGAATACCTGATTTTCATACGCTTTGTGGAGATCTCCACAAAGCACAACTCTTACGTCCAAATGTACAAATGAGAAAATGAGTTGTTCAAAATTTGAAAATCTTGCTAATGAGACGATTATGGATATATTTGAATATTTGGATGCTGTTAATCTATATCCGTCGTTTTATAATCTTAATTATCGTCTCAATGCAATCCTTAATGACAAGCGTCTATATATTTCGGTTGATTTTTCATCAAAGGTAAACGATAAACAATTCCATTTCACATGTGAAAATATCATACCTCAAATTGATGATCGTATAATATCATGTATCATTGCTCACGATTATCGAATATACGCATTAATTACACTATTCGGAACTTTTGCAACATTCCGTTCATTAAGAATTCTAACATTAATTGATATTACAAAAAAGGATAATTTGGAAATTATTTTACCAAATTTACATTATCTAATTACTTTGAATATTTATACAAATGAAATTGATAATGAAACAGTGATAAATGATATATGTGCATTGATTTTATCTAAAAAATTACCTTCGTTAAAAAAATGTTCATTAAGCTTTTGTAATAATTGTGTATTTAAAGATGTAACCAAATGCGATGTTGAACATTTAACGATTGGATGGTGTTCAGTAGCTGATCTAATTCATCTTCTTCATCATACACCTACTTTAAAAACATTGATTATTCGATATTTATGTAATTATGATTATTCAACATTGAAGGATACAAATTTAATATTAAAAGAAGTGAATTTATTTTTATATTGTGTTCCATTTAACAACATCGAATTACTGGTAAAATGTATGCCTCTATTAAGTATATTAAAAATTAAAGGACAATTAGATGATACGAATTATACTGATGCTCAACAATGGGAACCACTATTGTCAGCATCATTAGAACATTTAAGGATATTTTCGTTGAATATCACTGTCATTACAAGTAGTCTAAACACAACAAATATTATTGAGAAATTTGGAACGGATTTTTGGACATTACAATGGAATTTATCTATCACATGTCGATATAGCAGAAGCCTTATACTGAGTTTAACGGGAGAACGTGATCCAACAAAATATCTTAATAAAACTCGTTTAGAATAGAAATTTCTACTAAATTAAGTTCATTTTTTTTCATCTAATCAGTTTTCGTCTTTTTATATTATATGATTTTCAAATCACATCATGACTTATCATATTTTCACTGTAGAGTATCTCCTTATGTTTCTTTCATTATTTGTTAGCTTTTTTCATTTCACTTTCAATGTTTTCTTCAATCATCATTATTTGTAACATTCACTTTCCATACATAAGTCCGATGTTTTTATTTAAAAGTATTTCTACGTTTTAGTTAAGGGTACCCCCCCCCTCTTTTTTGACCCTCCTGAAAACCGGGGACGCCGATGTCGGATCGGTGTGAAATTTATAACAGAGATAGAACATCGAAAAAGAAAATCGACGTATTTTTGCATAGAATTTTGTGACGTGTTCTTCTATGGGTTTTCTAGAAAA